ATCATGGAAATAACAGGAATGGTGTAAACAGGTAAAATCCTCATCTTATCTCTGTCTGCCCCCTACAAAAATTACCAGCCTTTTAAAGGGAGAAACATACAGAACCCTGAGCGTTGGGAATTTAGCTGCAGGACTTGGAATTAGCCATAGTTTTGTACTTTTCCAGTCCTTAGCAGCTAAATTCCCAACACCTGAGAATTATTAAACACTGAGCATTATTAAAGCTGTCCAGAAAGGTATTCGTCCACCTTAAGACAGATGATTAAATTAGAATTTACTTCCAATACAATAGCTCATGATTTTAACCTCTTTAAAGGTTGTGTTTTGTCACTGCATATGAATTTCAGTGGTACTAATACAAAGCTGTGTGTTTATGCAATGAATTCTCTCCTGCCTTGTGTCAGCTCCATACACTAATGCCTGTCTGCATAGCAGTCAGGACAGCTTCCTCTGTCTCTGAACTGATTACACTGCTCTGCTCATTTTTGTTTGCAAGACTTCATCTCACTCCCTAGCTTCCTCTTTGTATTTATATTATAGTATCAAAGCTTTTGAGACAATGCAGTAGGAAATACACTGCATTAAGAGAAGTCATAGCAAAGTCATAGTAAAGTCAGATATACCCCTTGTTTAGGCCATGCTGTTTTATAAGACACAGAAGTAACATACAGCAATGTGCAATGTCTTGGGTACATTTTGTATTTTTAGAGCTATTATGGAACTGAGGATTATATGGTAAAGCACACAGTGACAAATAAAGAAACAAATCCAGGGTTAAGCACTCATGCTGACTAGCTGTGAAACCTCTTGGGAGCTATTTTCAGTGATCAAGACATCACAGATATTCACATGGCAAGAATCCGAAAGCAGTAATATTAACTAGCCAGTTTTTTTATCTCTTTTGACAGGACTTCCTCCTGATCATGTTTTATTCATTACCTAAGACTAAATTTCCAGCCAGTACAGAGCTATTGGAAAACTGGAACTCTTGCCTTGCCTCACTACATCCCATGAAAAAGCATGACTGACAAGCTGAACTCTGCTTAAAAAGTGAGGTATTTACACCTGGAAAATGTACATGTGTACACAATCTGTTCTACAGTACTGCAGGCATACACCATTGATCACGCTGCCTGTATATGATATTTGAAATCAATGAGAACTACACATTGTCTCACTCAAAAACAATTTTGGTACTGAAATATCTCTTTCCGCATGTGGATTTCCAGCCAAAGAAAACCCAAGCTACCTCAAAGAGAATTGTGACAAATTACCCAAACATTTAAAACATAAGGAGAGTCAAGAACTTTCCCAGCAGATGAACTGGAAGAAAAGGGGGAAACACCCAGAAGCTGCAGATCAGGGCAGAATAGGGTATTAAAATTATTAAACCTCTTTTCAGGTTCATCCCTGCACCTTTTTTTGTAACATATATGTATTGGACAGTTTGCATAAAATTTCCACACAGAAGTGTTTCTAGACTTGGATCACTTATTGATATTTTACATCTATGAAAAGCATAATTAGACAAGAGTGTATATTCCATTCCCTTTGAGGCTGTGAGACACATGGGAATATTCTTATTGCACCCTTATTGCTTACTCTTGAGAAACAAGAAGACTTTGTTGCTGTTATTACAGCAGATTTGAAAATCCGAATCAAAACCAAATGCATTTAAGTTCTCAATGTTATGCAAATGTTTCCTTTCCCAATTCTACTGAGGTACCAGTGTTACTGGAAGAAACATGTTCCACACAAGAATCAAGAAAAAAAATTATCTCAGGGAATAAACAAGTCTCACATCTCTAAGGTTTCAAGATCCTGTAGAGACTTGAAGAACTATGCACAGATCTATAACATGGTATCTGTATATTTCTTAGCTCAGTGTTTCTCAAAAAGGCTTATCATTTTTAAGACAGACCAAAAAAAGAGAGAAAAATGAAAGCATGTTAGATACACCATTCTCAAAGAAATTCATGATAAAGTGTTCAAGGACCAGCTCTCCTGCTGTGATGCTTTGTGTAATATATGACCATCATGTCTGGCAAGATTTGCACAGGTCTGCCCTTGATTTGTGTTAGGAAGAAAACAGAAAACCTCATAACTATTCTTCATTCCCAAGAATTAATCTGGCTTCCTGATGTTTCCAATTTTACAGTGATCCAAAGAGCCCCTCAAAACCACACCTGAAGCATCACTCACAATTACAGGTGATAGCTGAGGCAGACGAAAGCGAATTCTCTCCCCAGGCATCCCAGAGCACTCTCCATCACAGCAGTGGCCCTGGAGTGCTGTGGGATGGGACCACAGAGACTCAGACTTGCCCTGCAAGCACTGACACTGGCACAGGAACCAGCTTTGAGAGGCTTTTACCAGACAAGATTGCTAACAGTGTCACCAATGGTGACACAGGGTGCTACAAGCCTCAGGAATGAGCACACACCATTGAAGCTTCCAAGAAACTCCAGCCTTCTGCACAGCCATCAGATACAGCTGGATGGGAACAGCTCCAGCCCCTGTGGGAGCTGCACAGGAACGGTGGCACTTGATCATCTCAGTGTGCCCTGGGCAGCCCCTGCATGGTCCATACCCACTTTCTTATTTCATCTTTTCCACTGCTTCTGCAAAAGGGACTGAGACTTGGCTGCAGTAAATGTAATTTGACCAGTCTGACTGCTCTTCAATTCTCAGCTGAGCTTATCACAGCCAGCCAACAGCCAGCTTATCACAGCTAGCCAACAAATACAGTCATTACATCAGGCCAGAGAATTTCAGGATACACTTTTCCCCTAACAGCTCAATACATCATTCACAAATGTAACAAGTACACTGTAGACACAAACACTTTGTGTTATAAATGCATATAAATGCAGAGTGTTTCCACTAAAAGCAGTAGAAGTTATTAAGAGCAGTAAGAAAAGGCGGTCAAGTCCCCGTGGTTTACTAAGATGTTAATTAAACTGTTTTTAATTAGCAGATGCATGGTACTCCTAAAATTTTTTTCAAAGTATATGTCACAGCATTTGTCTCCCCAAAAATGCTGCCTCTTTTAAATTCTTAGATCACTGCTGTTACTTTTTTACACAAGCAAACTCCATGAAGGAGGAGTTTTCTTAAATCATGAAAAAAATTTCATTTCTATACCAAGGCTAAGTGATTGGAGCATTAGAATTTGGCTTTTCAACAAGTCAATCACCTATTTACCAGATTCATATAAGACTTGATGCTCTCACCTAGCATTTGTAATTACCTTACACATATAAAACAAATAAACTGTACCAGTGAAAATACTTTCCTATCAGCAGAATCAAAGTGCATCAGGCATGTAACCTGCACTGTGACTTGACTATTCAATGTCATAGCATTTACTTTATTTGCAAGACTCACTACATTGTTTTTGTAGACCAACAAAACCTTGCAAAATCTTACAATCCCAGGGAAACTCAAGCTTCCATGCACTCTTCAGCACTTAAACACTTCAGTTAAAGAAATGCTTGAGAAGAAATAAGTCAAGGAAATTGGAAATCTTTGAGAAAATACAACTGTTTGTAGCAGCAAACTGATAACAGCAGCTGATTGCCTGTATGGCAGACAAGGCAGGATTATCCCTACCAGCAATCCAGCAGCACAGACAACCAAGGCTCCCTTTCTCCTGCTGTTCTTGCAGCTACAGGGAATGTAATATATTACCTAATATATATACATTACTAAAAGTAATATGCTGAAGGACATAATTTTAAAATACTGACATTTTAAGGCATAGCAACAAGAAATAAATGTTCTTGGTTAGCTGGTTTCCATAAACAGTTCCTAGAGTATAGGTGCTTCACAGGAAGTGAATGGAATAGAAGAACTGTACACCAAATAGGTATTTTCTTTCTAAATTCAAGCCATTCAGCCACACCACCTCCATTTGCTAGACCCAATCTCATCTCACGATTAGAAACCTCCAAATATAGCAGTTACATCAAGGATCCTGAGAATGGCTTCTATTCTCCAGTCATCACCCCACTGTAAGAGATTTCCAAAATACTGAAAAATAAGCTTAATTTGTTCTCTTTACTGAACCACTATAATTACAAGTAGCTGCTCAACACTGAAATTTAATTTTGATATATCATATTGGCAGACCAAACCCTTCACAAGCTTTTATTGCTCTATCCTGTGCAGTGGAATGCATGGTGATGCAATCAGTATGTAATGACCAAGGCTGTAAAGTAAACATAACACCGCACAGATGCATAAATAATGTATCATTTCCTGAACTTGATTCTGACATAAAGCTTCACCAACACAAGCCTAAAGAGATGTGGTGTTAATTTTTCCATTTTGCATATAGGAACACATGAGAAATACAACCATATGAAGCATGAGAGGGTCAAATTCCATCCACTGGAAATTTTCCAGAAACACATTATATTAACCAGATCAAGGCAAAATTGATATTTTGCACTGTAAATTGCCTATAAACACTGGGCATGGAGACATTGATGTTGTCAACAGAAATCAGCACTTCTCTTCGTGGTTTTTCACACTCAGATCTCAGAGAATACTTCTTAAGTCAAGCATCAAATTTGTGGCCTTGAATACAAGTTCCCTGGTATGTAATGTATCACTTAAACAGATCAGCTGAACATTCATCTCTCAACCACCAAACTCCGTAACTTACAAACTGTAGAAATTCTCCGGGAATAAGGCTCAAAGTCTATCTGAAACACAGAAGCTATATACTTGAACCTTTTCTTTCCAACTGTAAGAAAGAACAGTTGCTGATGTACCAACTGTGCAGAGATCCTCACATTCTGTTGGTTCTTTCCTTACCCTAAATAGTAAATATTTAATGGATACAACTGAGGTGAGCAGTGCATCCTCTGGTAGAAAAGGAAGGACCCATCAGCTCTTTGTGGGAACAAATTCATTACACATTCTGGAACACGCACACTGGAACAGAAGTGTATTTTCTTAGATAGCTTTAAAAAACAATTGAAAAATACACTCACTTGTAAATGTTGAGAGTTGTCAGTCATATTGTCCTCTCGCCTACGAACTTCTTCCAACAACTGTGCATTCTTCTTTTTCTCCAATTGCTGATTGTGCTTCAGATTGGCAACCTTCTTGTTTTGGTCCTTCATATGTCTAAGAATTGCACACACAATTAGTGTTAATGACTGCAACCACTTCTTTTGCAATAGAGATTAATTCTGTGACTACAACACAGGGCATTGATTCTCCAACAGACAAAAGTTTTCCAAGCATCAGTTGTAACAATAAAACCACATCTTGTTTTCAAGGTGGCATATCAAAACAGCTTTCAATTATAGAGTGGTAGAGCAATTATTTGGGCTGACAAGATTTCCCCCTTTTTATAATTTCCTCACAAAAATACATACATGTTCTGAGATCTATGCAGAAAAATGTTGAAAGAGGAAGATGACCCAACAACCCTTACACGCTCTGCATTCAGGAACAATTTTAATAGGTACTTCAAGCATTCATTTCAAAGGAAGCAGAAGGTGAAGGTGATTACTAATGTACATTGTGAAATTATATTTTTTAAAACCTGGACTACAAACACAGTGTTTAGGTGGATTAAAGTGTGATGGAGTAGGTCAGGTAATAAATATGCCATGAAGAATAAAGGATGCCTTTACAAATAGTTTTGTACATGACAATAACATTTCTATCATTTTTTTCTAATGGGACTTGCTTCTAAAAAGGATAATCAACAAACCAATGTATGAGCCATTCCTAAGGAAATGAAACAATCTTTGCCACCCTTACATGTTCTCTTTTTTTAAGACTGTATTAATAAGAAAGAATTAATTGTTTCAATTTTAATTATCTTTTATGGTAGATTTTATTAAGTCACCAGAAGCATTTCTGAGACTCAACATACACTTTTTTAAGAAAGAAGGCAAACTAATTTTGTCTGTCAGGTAATGAAAACATATCCTTGCAATAATACTTCCTACCTCCTTGAATTCCTAAATATTTTTTCCAGACTTTCTTAAAATGAAGGAATTTGCTCCCTTTTATCTATAAAAAATAAAAGTCACGTGCAAATTCCTAATGAGATCTACTCACTAATCCTATTGTGGCAAATGAAGAGAATATTATTCAATGCCCAAAAGGATCACTGAAAATCCCTCCTTTGCTTCCACATCAGAAGCAGTGAAAAAAGTCATAGAATACATTTCTTGCATGGATTTTGTTATGCTATAGAAACTGGGTCATTCAATATTTTCTTCTATCACTGGTTTCTTTGTCCTACCAATGTTTTTTTCACTATTTATTAATGATCAAAAATTAACAATTAATTTGCAATCAATAAATATGCCATGGTATTAAAAATTCTTAAAAGACACTTCATATAAAAGTTTATAAGTACAGCACATTAGAGAAAATCCAATCAATTATAACTAAAAAAAGTACCATAAACTTGCCCAGGAAAAAAAGCATGGACAACTACTTCAAAAACAGATAATTTGCTTGCAGGTCTAAGTGAAAATCAGTTCCTTGTCATGATTCTGTCTCATAATTGTAAGCACAGACTTGCTCAGCATAAAACCAAAATGAATATTGAAAAAAACACACTTCCACAACTTCATATATAAATGCATTTGGCAGAAATTTTGGTGGTGCAATATGGCTTTGTGCTGTTAAAACATAAATCGGTTTCCAATCTCATGTTGAGAAAATGATAAATTCATTTGCATTTAATCTCTATAAGAAGTTCAATATAATGCCAAGGCTAGCTGTTTCTTTCATCACCCATGCCTCACACAACTTCCCATTTCAGCTTCTCTAATACCCCACTGAAAAGCAGAACATGGTAAAGCTGCAAAGGAAAAACATCTGGTGCCTGTGATAGGCAAAATCTTGAAGAGAGGGAAATAAAAGCAAGCTCTGTCATAGACTCTCTTTATGCCACAACTGGCTACACACCTATGGAAATGAACAGAAAATGCTACTGTTAAAGAGCCCAACTGAGGAGTTTTCTTCAGGCCTGCATTAAAAGTACTGGGGGAGTTCAATGCAGCAAATAAGTACAAAAACATATTTCCCACCAGCTTTTTTTTTTTTTTAATAGCAAATATCAAATACAATCCTTGGTTCAGTAGAATTTTTGAGTTGCTTGCTCTGATATGTTTTCATGTGGCTCTACTGTTTCTCAAATGCTTTTGAATAAAGTAGCAGATTAGGATAAGTGAAAAGTATGCATGAGAAATAGAAAAATATTTGGGAACCATACCAAATCAGCATAAAATATATGTCATGACCATAGAGGACATATGATAAAATATTCACATAGCTTGCTAGTAACAATGCTGATATGCACAGTTATGTCTCCATTTCTCTAGATCATGTGGAATTAATTTCATTTGTTCTGCTACACTGCTTGAATTTAAAGCTCTAAGACCACAAAATTCGTTAGACAAAATAAAATAAAGACTACTGCTTAAGACACGTCTTATAAATCTGAAGTGTGCATTTCATGGGTCTGCTCAGTAGAATTCCTCCTACCATCACAAGTTAATAAATTTCTGCTTATGTAGCATTTTCTGATCGTGCAATTGCCTCAGTGCAGGAAGATGAAATGCACAGTTCTCTGATTGTTGTACTTCATTTTGAATTTGGGCATCTATTCTCTTTTAGTGTTAATTCTATTGTTTTATTATTATTATTTATCTATTCTCTTTTAGGTTAATTCTTTAACCTCTGAGCCAGACATCCCAGTCATCCCAAGCTAGTTAAAACTCACCACTCTGCTGCACTTGTGATTTTACAAACTTCACAGAACTGGAAAGCCAGGCTACAAACCAGTTCTGAAGCACTCGAGCCCACAGCACACTGAAATAGTGCCAACACTACACCTGGCTTAAAGAAATTATCTTCTGAGCTCATAAACATTTAAGAAACAAAGCAGACTTAAAAAGCAGCAGAGATGATTAACTCTCTGCACAGATGCTTAATCTTGGCCAAACATTAAAAAGCAGGATTGACGACAGTTTTTCAGATAACAAATTTACATTTGTTTGTGTTCCTATGGTTAAAGCCAGTCAGCACTGTTAAAGAATATCTAGCAGCTTAGGAACAGAAAATAATTCAGAGTGAAACTAAACTGTCTTGAAAACAGAGCTAGAATATAATCATACTTTAAATAGTGTAAAATAATTTGAAAAAAAAATTAAAAAAGGAAATTCTGTTCTGTTCCAGAATTATAAATTAAGGGATGATATCCTAGGCATCTTCTGACTCTTTTGATAATTCAGCATCAGAGATATGAGGATATGCAGTATCCAGCAAACACCCCATGCCACATAAATACAAGATATCCATAATATTGGCAGTTAATAAAGTAGAGATGAACACCAGGAAAAAAAAAAATTCTAAATAAAATCTTATTTTTTTAGTACATTAGACATTGTCTCACTCCTAAAGAAGAGAAAAAGATAATATAAAGTAATACAAATCTTTTAGAAGCTACCTTACTACTCATTAAGTTTATTAATTTGTTATACCTAGTTTAACTGAATTAGATTACCTAGATTAACATTAGATTGCCATTGATTAACATTGCAAATCTAGATTACCTAGATAAACATTGCTCTTAACTGAATATTCATTCCCCTTAGATATGAAACTCCATTAAAAATCATCCTCTTCTTGAATCTTTCTAACTTGGGATAATTTTTATAATCTTTCTGAATACACAAAATGCTCCACAGTAATCAATTTGCACCTCAACTGGGCACTAGATTTAAAATCAGGTGTCTAAATGACAGCAATGCCAACACCTCTGTTTTTCTCAGCATCCAACAATTTTTTGAGGAAAGAGGTCTCAGAAAACCAGCGCTGGAGTCAGCAGACTGCAGCAGCTCTGACTCCTCTGCTGCTGAAGAACCATCCTCTATGACCGCTAAATATTTAGATACACTCAGTGCATCACACATCCAAGCACGACAGGAGGAGACAAAACATCCTCCAAGAGCCCTTCAGCTTTATCTCTTATGGCAGCCAGTCCAAGGGACTCAGAGCCCATCAATCCTCCTGAGCAAACAGCAAGATGTCCTTACCTCAAATGCACTTTTCATTCTATTTAATCTTTTAACTGAAATGTCTCTGTAGCAAACAGACATCAGTGCCATGGAGACACAGACCCTGGGCCAGCAGGAAGTGAAACAGCAAAACAGCAGCACCACTGAGCTCCTGCTGGTATGAATAGAACTGTAATGACTACACTTCAGCCATGCTTGGGGCTTTTTCTTCTTCTGGAGCAGCACACAAATTGATCTCACAGTCTAACTACAGCACATTTAATTCCTTCAGTTCAACTTTTTAAGACAAATATTAAACACTAAGCTCCTGCATATACGTGAGTAGCATTCAGATTTCATTTTACAGTAGTGTGTGTTGTCTAACCTCCAATGCTTTCATCTCTGATAGCTATAGAAAATCACACTATTTCATTAAATTCCCTGCTTTAATTAGCCACCTGGGTACCTTGGCCACAAAGCTGGTAATGTCAGCCAAAAATAAGTGTTACATGTTAGTATAGCCTTTACTCTATTTCATAAAGGTTTTTTTTCCCTCAAAGCATCCAAAAAATGCAGACATGCAAAATACTCCCAAGAGCAAAATCTGTAACATTTTCTAAAGGAATATGTCTCTGCAATAATTTTAATCACTTTAAACAGCAATGCAATGGGACCAGCTGTCTGCAAGTCAATCAAAAAATTCTCCAGTGTGTTAGGAAGCTGTGCTCCTCAGCAAATAAAAGATTAAAAAAATCAGAGTACAATGAATGTTTTCAGGGAAACAAGCAAAAAAAAAATCGATTCCAAACCAAGCAGATCTATTTTATGAAATACAATTTAGTCAAAAGAATTAATCTAAATAAAGTAAGAAAGTGTCAAAAATGTGTTTTAAAATTCAATAGAGTACACTTATTTTAATTCAACAAACATCCCCAATGTTCTAGACAGGCACTGGGTAGAATATTAGCACCATTATTGCCTGAAATATTATCTCTTTCTCCTTTATAAATAATCCACACTTTTACAAAGAATTCATGTATGTGATCAATGAAACAAAACTCAACATGTTACTGGGCACTCTGGGTCTCAGCAGCTAGT